TTTTGCAATGCGTGTTCTACACCAAATCATGTTATTCATGTGGATTATGCAAAATTGGTGGTAATTAGAATCTGTGTACACAAAACCATCACGTATGGATGGATGTTAGTGGATAGTCACACATGGATGCTCCCATATGGGTGAAGATGGAGAATAATTGAAGAGATGAGTGTATCAAAATCTTTGGTAAATTGTAGTTTTAAGAACAGATACCTTTCAATTGTACAAATTTGTTCACAAATGATTTTTTGTTCCAAATGTGCTACAATTTGTAAGAATGATGGACAAAGAAGCATTGTATTTTGTCATGACATTGTATCGTGGTCAGATTTTCGTGGACAAAGAGGCATTGTATTGTTTCATTGACCATCGATACGTATCACGACATCGTGTCCATGAGATAAAGCTTTTTTTAGGTTTGTCGAAACCTTATTTCTCTAAAATAAAGGGAAACATTGGCGGTGAAAGAAATTTTCGAAACAGGAAGTGAGAAACAAGATGAGAAAGAGCTTCAATTGGCATGTATGATTGTTTATCTTAATCATTTTCTTGAAATTTTTTTTTGGAAGTGAGAAGTTCATATAGGATGGAGATTTGAGATCTATTATTGCTATTTAATTTTGTTTTGATTTAATCGATGGGATCAAAAAATTTCAATTTAATTGATTGAAGAAAAGAGTTGGTGGAGAGAAGAGAGTTTTTACGATCACAGAAGAAGAAAGAAGAAAAGTAGGGAAAAGAAAAGAAAAGAAAAAAAGAGAAAAAGAGGAAAAAAAAGGAAAAGGGAAGGAAAAAAACATATTTGTTGTTATGTTATAGTAAGGGTAAAATAGATAAACAACATCGTACTTTTTAGAAAAAGTGTCTTCAGGATCACAAAATGTTTATATGTGTTATGTCATTCCAATAAAGTGTCTGTATGTGTAATTTTCTCCATTTTTATTATGCCTTCTAAAATAATACTATTATCTTCGGGTACAAAAGGCCAAACCGATGAACAAAAAAAAATAATGGGAGTTTCGAATTTTTAACTTATAATCTATTCGATATTCGAAGTTAGCCTTTAAATATTCCGATTTAAAACAATTATCCTATATACAAAATAAAGTTTGAAATTGGAGCACAAAAAACTTCATATCCGAGATTTTGGGTGTTAGGACAAAGATATAATTGGTCATGAAAGGCTTCAGATCCAATGTCTCAAATGTAGTCAAAGAACTACTAGGTTACTACATTTGAGTGGATTTTCTATAACTTAAAACATTTAAGCCTACATTTAAGTTTGTGGTTAAGGTGTTTACATCAATAGCATATACTGATTCTGATTCTGATTCTGAACCAGATACAGAAGGTCGTAAACTCAACAACGCTCTCTTTTGTTTCTCTTATCTAACGTTAAACATTAAATATTTTTAATTCTGTTTTCATTATCTAACGTTTTTCTTTTTTCAGATAAAGTTGCAGTGTTATGGGGAGTGATTTTGCTTGTCGTCGACATTACCGAAACCATAGTGAGCAAATTTCGTCTGTTGATCAAATGTCGTCTGATGGTGGTCTGGTTGTCTTCTTAAAGTTTCCCGCCGATTCTACTCGATTTGACCAAATATGCAGATTCTTTGATTCAAAAAGATTCTAAACCTAAATGTTGATAACCAATGTTATCAAATAGCGAATGGATTGTAAATCTAGATGTGATCTAAATCGAATGCACAAGATCTATGTTCAATCATCAAACTAAATCTAAAAAAAACTCATGATAAACTAAGGCTCCAAATGGTTTACAAAAATGGAATAAATGAAATTGTATGGATGGAAAAATTAGTGACTGGAATAAAGAAGTAAGAACAAAAATTTGTTCTACGCGTTACTCTCCTATTTTCTAGACGAATGTTTTCCATCAAATTTGTTAATTCTTACAATTTTTGTTGGTGGAATCACAAGTCATTTAAAAAAAAAAACTACAACACTCTCCATCTGCCATGTCTAATAAATCTCAAATTCTACTCTTTCATTTTTTTTCACTTCCAAAAACTGTATTAATATAAAAAAAAAAAAATATTTACATTTCTCTTATCTACTATATTTTTCACATCCTTTGTGCTACTATTTTTTCATCTCTTTTTCTTAATTTAGTATTATTGGTGCATATCAATATTTCTAGATTTTTAGTAAAAAAGTC